CCCCTCAACATTTCTGCTCAACTACATATATCTTTAGGGGAAGGGATTTTTCGAGCGGCAGTGATTTTTGAGTTAGGTGCAGTATAAAAGGCATCAAAGGCGCAATGCAACAATAGTAGTTCAACACAACTTGTAAGTGGTAAGTATGAACGACCGTTTAGACTTTTACTTTCGACCCTTATAACCATTTCCGTAACCTGAACTAGTGATTTTGAACTTTCTGAAGTAAAATCGATTCAAGAGCTTGAAAAGTCACTGAGCAATCAGCCAAGCCTAAATTCCTAAGACTTTTTTGTTTAACTGGGGACCTCAAACTTAGAAAATGGACCCATCAAGATCAGTACTATCTCTCTCACGGATAACTTAAAGGGGAATTTCGAAAGTTTTTGAGTATATGAACCTTAGGCGCATTCTAGACAGCTGATGAATTGAAAAAAAGCTAATTGGGAGAGATCACTTTTCAGACTATTCCTACATTTGTAGGTTCTAATAAAGCAGTTTGATGGTTTTTATGGAACAAAACGAACCAAGTGCCACCCTGCCGATCGACATGAAGCATTCGAAGAATTTGCAAAAATCGAACTCCTCTGAAAACATTCCAGATTGCAATGAATAATGATGACAATAATGCTATGCAACAAATGTGTGCTTACCGTATTGCACTGGCAGCAAAAACTTGGCCTTCATTTCCTACAAGAATCACCGTAATGCTAGCCAGAACCACACAGAGGTCTGGAAAGGAAAATTATGAGTAACGGATTGTACCCGACAACACAGGGGTCGTATTTCTGCTTTGGGGTGTCAAAAAGGAAGCGGTAACAGCTGGTTATAGATGCTAAAATGTAAATTTACAGGATCTCAGCATTGCACGGGAAAAATCATTGACTGATTCGGCAGAAGGGTGTAATCAAGCGGCTTCCCAGAACTTATGGATCTACTAACTCCATTTCGCAAAAACAGCGCTGTGACTGTCCTTGGATCGACATGAAGAACGGCAGGACCGTGAGGAACAGGTATTGACCTATCCTGGTAGAATCTAGGAAAGTTTTGAAAAAAAGGGATCGGTCGGGAATGAAATCTGGGAAGTCTTCTAGTCACAGGATAGGCTAGTCTTAGAGATGATTCTAGAGAACTGGAGACAAAATGACAGTGCGATCAAGAGAGGCGATAAAGGAGGCTGTGTAAAAAACAGATCTTCAAGAATGTGCTGCTCTCCCTCCTCCGCTGTAAATCGGTTTGGGAGCTTTGTAATTTTTCCTTCTTGCAATGTACTCCGTCCCGGTGAAATCAGAAACCAGCCCAAAGGACGAAAAAAGTTTGAAGTATACGGAAATCCCATGGAATTAGGTAAACAAATGAAAGAAAATATCGAAAAATGGAGCCCGACCAAAGGTTCCCTTCGTACTCACCAATGAATGAGATAGGTTTCTTGGCGAAACGAAGTCGTCCCCAAAAGCCAAGATATTTTGAACGGCATCCAGCTGCCCATAACCGTACACAATATTCAATAGCGAAAAAAATTACGAGAAAAATTTCCTGTAAAGAATAAGTAGAATGGGAAGGTCCTCAGTGGTGGGATCTCTGTGAAACTTACCAATAGGAAAAGAAGTTCACCAGCAAATCGACTATGTTGTTCGACTGTTGACAAAACACTGAGGATCAGACATACCAAAACAACAACAAAAACACTGAAAGTCAGAGATTTTCTTGAGAAAGCCATCTGAGGAAAGGGAAAAAACTGGCCTAAAATGATACATGAAGCACTTCCAACCAGCAGGACGTTCGAGGCAGTTGTATACCTAAAAGGGATGGTATACCGGAGCCCAGAGGCAGACGGTGAAGTGGCTTACCTTGCTTTGGAACGTCGGTTTGGCCGCTTTGCGTTCTTTCTGCGTTCGGTAACGGGAATCGAACATCTGAAGCATAGGAAGGCTGAGGAAANCTGGCCTAAAATGATACATGAAGCACTTCCAACCAGCAGGACGTTCGAGGCAGTTGTATACCTGAAAGGGATGGTATACCGGAGCCTAGAGGCAGACGGTGAAGCGGGTTACCTTGCTCTGGAACGTCGGTTTAGCCGCTTTGCGTTCTTTCTGCGTTCGGTAACGGGAATCGAACATCTGAAGCATAGGAAGGCTGAGGAAACTAATTACAAAGAAGTATCACAAATAAACGATCGATCAGATCGATCACGTCAGCGCTGAGGTGTGTTCGCGCTGTGCTTGCTTTACAGTTATTCACCGGCAAAGCGGAAAAGCCCTGACATGCCGACGGCCGCCATATGATGCGGAATTACAACATCTGCACGCGATCAATACCTATCCATTGCATGTCTTCGAAGTCCTACGACCAGCATGAAAGAATAAATAAACAAAGAACTCCCGGATGATCTAACAGATACCGTGGGATACGGTCAGAATCCATGTCAGAGGCCACAAACGACAAAAAGAAGCACTTCAACACGGCCCCTTCCTGAGTTGATGCTATGCTGAAGCCATTCATGAGCACGAAAATTCTTTGTTAGGTTTATTTTTGGCTTTTTCTTGGAAACGATCCTCTTATGGGCTTAAGGCTTTGTTGGCTTCTAACATCGATGGAGAAAGATTGTTCCGTTTCCATGGAGAAGGAAAGCCAAAATCAAATTCACAAATCTCGATAGAAAAGTCTTTAGAGTTTCTCCTCTAGCACGAACGTGAGGCCCCTCAAGATAACAGCAGGGGCATTGTGGTCAAAAACGATCTCGACAGGGTGCTATAAGGACTCCAAACCGGCTTAACCGACGTACACACCCGAAAGTGGCCGTGTTATGATGGCATTATTATAAGACTGTACCATTCCCAATGAAGCCTTAGGTCTCCGTCGAATAGTGCGCTTGAGTGGGAGACACCCAGACGGTCATAGACACATAATCTCGTACAATTGGATACTACTTTGCTGAAACCTTATATTTCCCAGAATTTGCCAAATTTCGCACCATCTACACTACTTTTACACAATTCTGCATCATAAGTTTCATTATTCCACTTTATTACACTTAGGAATCATCGTGAACTGTGCCCTCAAACAAGGGAAATTTCGTGAACTATAAATAAGAATGAAATCATGAAATCCCTAAAGCTGTCCGTAAGGCGGATTTGCGGATAACATTCTTGAGCAGCTTTCATTATAATCTCCAGATATTTGTCGTGGAATTCGTCCCACGCCCCTCTCCCCCACAGGCCAACGCTAGTCCGTTTTCTGGAAGCACTTTCAAGAATGAAACTAGAGCCATCGAGGGTATGAATTGAGCGAACAGCGGTAACCTAGCAAGGAATAGTTTAAATTTTGCAACGGTGTCGAACAAATCGGGCTATAGCAATTGACTTTATCTGCTGACAGAACACCGCGATCCGTAGCTAGTTGCCTCACGCCTGTCCCTTTTCTTGGTAAGTTGTCTTAGCTAGTTGCCAAGCGTCGTAGCATGTGCAGCCCTAGATAAACGCATCTTAGGAAATCACAGGCAAATTAGTGATTATGGAGGATTATCAATCATGACCGTTGGAGTATACGGTTAAGTATTTTTCGAAGTTTTGAATGAATGAAAAGCTTATGTATTTCAAGGTGGAAGTTCAGCAGCAAACCGATCTTCGGTACGCCTTCACCTGCGTTTAGGAGCCATTAATGGCAGTTACCAAAGTTACGATTTCGAAAGAGAGTCACAGAAAATTAATAAGAATAAAGGATAAAGTGTTGGGTTAATCAATCCTGTCTGATGGATACTACCAGGCATTCAACCTCCATTCAGAATCGTAGTGGCGAATTAAATGCATATGTAGCCCATACAATGACTTGCGGAGGCTGCCTGTTGAACTAGTCAGTCTTCTATCCTCCTAGACGAGTCTATTACCAATACAGTACAATACCGAAACAGAGGAATGGAAGGCTTGGTTCGCCTAGGCGAATATCTATTCGGGAATCGAACGCGTGATTGTGCGTTTATGGAGTGTGCCATTCGCCGCTACACCACCTCCGCCATTCTAGAGCTTTATGCATTCCTCCCTGACAAGCTCCATAACTACCGTACAAGACAATTAGCCAAGATCGTAAAGAGTTCAAAGCTGTTCTGAAAAAAAAGCTTCTGAAGTAGCAGAATTTTCAAGTCATATGGTAGGACGTGAGTCTCACTAGTGGCCTGGCACTCATTCGCTCCTAACCGCCCGATTTCTGATCTTTTCATTTCAATTTTTCAAAGAACCAATAATGTTGTGCTGATGAATAGAGGGACAAAAAGAACTAAGAATTTGCTTCCTTGCCATCAGATCGGTCGAGTTACGTACGACCCAGTGGGAGATAATAAAAAAACGGTTGAAGATCTTGAAAGTGCTGTAGATGGGACTGAATAGAACGTTTTGAATGATACAAAAGGGACAGCCGTCGTTCTTGGTGTCTGGGGGCGTCACTGGAATTGAATCGTCCTATTCATCACCGTTTTCCGGTATTCAAAACGAACAATTTCTCATTGAATTCATATGCATGCACATTCCATCAATGATACAGTAATGCTACGAAGATAATTTCGAATAATATGGAAGGCAAAGTGGGTCAACTCGTTGCCTGATGTGGACGAGATTGCTGTTGCGTGGAGTGAGAGAAAAAAGTGACACAGCCATGATCAGGCTTACGTATGTATGACGTTGCCCTAAATGGCTTCTTTGTCGCTATACCTTCAACCCCCTGCTCAAAATATGACCCTATGCCTCTCCAGGTAGCTTTCATGAGAAAAAACGACGATCAGAGGGCCCTTCTTTCGGGAATTCTTCGACTTCTGGTGTGGTCTCACCTCCCACTTCTTCTTAAGGGACAAACTGAGACCCGTCTGTCGCAGATTTTGTATGGACTCATGGATGTATACATTCTTTTTTCACGTCGTTTGTGTAAAAATAGGAATCCTCCTTTCTGAAGAGTTAAGAAATGGCCTGAGCTCGAAAATGGCACTAGGGGAAGCCCAAATACTCCGTGACAGGCCTAATGCATTCCTTGCAAGTGATATAGGTTACTGGTACTTACAATAGGCACCTGGAGAGTGAAAAAGGATTATATTGCACTCATAATAAGGGTATCAAATCCAAGGGCCAAATACACCTCCAACTGAGTCTCACCGCCCTCAACTGGTCGTCGTTGCCCGTCTGGAAGGGAAAAGTCCTGATTCACACATCGAGAGATGGCCCGAGAAGCCATCGTATAGGTCACATACATACCCTAGCATTGTGTGACTCTGAATGGAAGTTGTATGACTGATTGTATCCCAAAACGAGATTGTTCAACGCCAAAACATTTTATGAAATACACTAGAACATTCTACTTCTGAATTGTGATATTCAAGGCATGCCTCTAATTCCCATCAGATACGAGGAGCTTTCCAAGCATGGGAACGAGCCCTGAATAGTTTTCAATTTCTCTAGTCATTATCAACAAGCTTCGTTTCTTCGAGATTCGAATGTCTTTTCAGCGAATGAACGACTGAATCACTGCTTGAAGGGATGCCGATTTCCCGTAATTCATTAGGGCCCTTTTTTGCCGAGTGCATTCTCAATATAATTGTAAGGAACAATGTTATATAAAAGCGATGGTGTGAAAGAAAATGTGAAGCAAATTGTTGCCAACAGTTTTGATTGAAGTCCTGAAGACTTAACCAGTCCTTCCTGAGGGATACGCCCCGCATACGACCCTCATTCAAAATCATAGTGGCAGCTGAACGCGTCTGTGGCCTATACAACGAATTGCAGCGGCCAGTCAATGTACAAGTTAGAGCTTTTATCCTCTCAGACGAGTGTGGTACAATTTAACCGAACCCCCAGCAGTGGAATGCTTGGTTGGCCTAGGTGGGAATCGATTCAGGATTCGATCCCGTGGCCAGTCGTGTGTGCTAGTGCGCCACCTGCCCTTACACCACTCTGCCAAAGTTTTGATCACCATTCTATTCTTTTTGTACCGTTGGAAATATGTATATCCACTCCGCGTTCACCTAATTGCTATAAAAATGAAAGTCATTGAACGGTGAAGGCACGTAAAGATTCAAGTGATGACAGAACTTGGGCGATTCACTGAAAGGTTCTGAAGGGGTCTATGAGAGTATCTAAAATATGGCCCCAGCCTAGGACATCAGTTTCTAGCCTCAACCGAGAATGGGTGTTGCTCCCCTACTGGCACCGGAATAGTAAGGATAAAAACATTCAATAAGCCAATTCTCACACATATCCCGATAAATTTTCAGAATAACCTCCTCCGACTATAAGGCACCACAAACACGTCTACTTGGGGGCAATCTTTCCAAGTAATCTGAACTTTGATGTCATTATTCGGAGAATATGGAAAGATTGGCTCTTTCATCTCGCTTGGAAGAGAAATTCATAAAAAATAAAACTAAGGGAGAGAAGGGAAGAAAAAAGGAGGATTGGCCAAGGCGTGCAGCCAACAGGTACCGGTTTCAGGAAGTTACTTTTTTGGGAAGCGTATTTCAGGCTAGTTACAGCTTCTTCAGAAGTTGTAGATTAAATTAGGGTTTTTTCCCTGATGAGAGAATTCCCTTTTCAATAAAGCTTCTGGACTGCAAGAAGATGAAATCTCGAATCATTTGGAGCTTTGATTGGAATGAAATCCGAATCCCATCAATGAAATCGGTTCTAAAACAGTATCCATTCGTGAAGGGCTTGATAAAAGGTGATCGTATCAATCGTAAACATCCTTTCGACTTTATAGGTCCCGAAGAAGAAGAGTTAGTAGGAACGTTGTCACTTGGGAGGCTTGGCTAAGAACTACTACAATATACTACAAGTATAGCTTTGACCACGTCGAGATTAATCGAGAGGCAGTCATGGATTGTCCCAGAAAATTCGAGAGTAAAAAGAAAAAATTGAAGAAAATTTCAGTTTGCTCAGGCTCTCTTCCTAGAACTCACTGAGGCCGTTCGCTCTTCCATGGATAGGACAAGCATATCATCGAAGCAATATGAGGCTTATTTGATTCATAAAAAGCGCCATGCAGCGTTTTTCACTTTCCTATTACTTACAGATCACTACTGCACGCTTCATCATTCTTTCAGCTTTCAACAAGGAATACTGAAGAAACTTCCAATCCAATT